GTGGGCCTCACAGACACGGACGTGGGCCTCACAGACACGGGTGTGGGCCTCACTCACATGGATGTGGAGCTCACAGACATGGACATGGACATGGAGCTCACAGACATGGACGTGGGCCTCACAGACACGGGTGTGGGCCTCACAGACACGGACATGGGCCTCACAGACATGGACTTGGGCCTCACATGCGCAGAGCCTAAAACTGGGCTTTCCCACGCCCCTGTACAAAACGAACCAAAAGTGGACTAAAGACCTAAATGTGAGACCTGAAATCATAAAATTTCTAGGAGAAAACATAATAGAAACACCTTAGAATGCTGAAGTCCTTATTTCTTTTCGTTCAAGGCCGCGATTCCTGGAGTGTGATGCAAAGCCCGGGTCACGAGAGCACAAGACACAGGCCGGGCTGTGCCGCGGGTGGCCCGAGCGCAGCAAGGGGGTGATGGGTGCTGCGGCGGCTCCCAGAGCCAGAAAGCCTGCGGCTCACACCCGCTGAGCGCCAACGTCAGAAAGAACTGCTAAAAACTGACAATAAAAGCATGCTCAGCCAACACTGAGCGGAGGACTCTGAACTGGCACCAAGAGCACCAGCGGCCAGAGGGCCCACCAGAGGCCACCCAGCAGTGCCCAGCCCTGGGGACACGCGCATCGAAGGCACAGTGGTGCCACCTTCACGCTTCGCTCTGAAGACAATCGAGTGTCGGGAAGGGGACAGGAACTGTGGTAGACAGTGACGGCCCCTCCAAGGTCAGAGAGTACTAGCGCAGGCCCAGCCTCCACGGCCGGGATTACATGGAGAGCGAGACAGGCCCAGCAGGACTCTCACGCCCACGGTCACAGCAGCACAACCCGCACGGGCTCGGGGCAGAGCAGCCCCGTGTCTACCGACGGACGACTCCACACACAGGATGTGGCCCACTCACACGGTGGGCTGCTATGCCGCCCTCAAAGGGGAGGGAATTCGGACACACGCTTCAGCGTGTGAACCCCGAGGACCTCAGGCTCAGCGTAAGGAAGCAGTGGCAGGAGGGTGGGTCCTGTCACCTTCACTCATGGGCGCATCAGGGGACGGGGAGCAGCATGGTGGCAGTAGGGCCAAGGGGACAGGGTTCAGTTCAGGGAGACAGAAGGCTCTGGAGATGAAAGACATGACGGTTGCACGACAGTGTGGCGTGCTGAACGCCACAGAGGTTTGCCTCTACCGTGGTTACGGTGGTAAGCTCTATGCTATATACTTTTGCTTTTGGTTCCGGGAATCAAACTCAAGACATTGCGCTTACCAGGCAGGCGCTTACACTGCTGAGCCGACTCCCGGCCCCATGCTATGTGCTTTTTAAACACAATTTTTTAAAACAAAAACTTAAGAAACCACTCAGGGAAAACTTAAGAAACCTTCTAAGTAGAGGGCTCCGGAGTCCAGAGCACACAAGGGAGGCCCTGAGCAGCTGTGCCCCAATCCACTGTACACGGTCAAGCAGGGCCTTTCGCTTGCAGCCTCAGTTTCCCCACCTGTGACATGTGGGGTACCCAGAGGCCCCTGAGCTCTTCTGCTTGGAGGATGTCCTTCTCCAGACCCTGCTAAGCAGGCAGTCTCCAAGCTTCCCCGGAGGCAGAGCTGGGGCACCTGGCGCCAGAGAGCGCCCAGCGGCTGCCTCCCAGGGGTTCTGGCTGACCGCTCTGGTTGGATCCCTGGGGCTGAGGCACGTGGCGCTGCTGCGGGGTCAGGCCAAATGGGGCAGCCACGCTGCACTGCGAGGTTGGGGCCAACAGGCTCCTCTGGGGCAGACTGAGACGTCTGGGGAACTCATGCTGGGCTGGCAGCAGGGCCCACCGGGTGTGGCTGCCTCTGTCCCCTACCCCTTTGACTCTGCATTCTGGGAGGCCTGAGATATCACTCTGCTCCTCTGGTGACTTGGGAGGGTGTCACTTTGGTGATGCTACCCAGAGCTTGTCCTGGAGGGTGACCTGGAAGTGAACCAGACAGCACAGGAGCCACCAGCAGGCCTCAGAGGGCAGATCCCACCAGGACCTGCCCCAGGCACCTGCCTGCACAGCCCAGCCAGCGGCCAGCAGGCCAAGTAAGAAAGTTCCACCCAGAGGGCCTCTTCTTGCCCCTCGGTGTGGCGAGGTGCCAGTGGACAGATGGCCGTGCCCTTCCCGAGAGCCCGAGGGCTGACCCAGTGGCCCCTGTGCAGGGCAGGCAGGGGCCGCCTTGTCTCTCTGGGTGTCTGTACCGTGTCTCATCTCTGTTGCCTAGGAGACAGCAGGTAGGGATGGCAGAAACTTGGCCAGGACTGTGATGGGCTGGCAGGCCAGGGACAGCCGGCAGGGAGGCCCAGCAGCAGCCGCTGGGGCGCATCACAGCAGGATGGCACTCACAGGCACCTGGAGCCAGGCCCTGCTGCCCCCGGAGGCCAGGCTGGCAGCCAATTCACAGGTGACAGCCTGGGGACAGCTGTGTAGGGCCAAGGACACCCACTCGGGCCCAGCCGCTGGCAGGGCGGTGGAGACACAGGCAGAGCCCTGGCAGGTGTTTGGAGACTGAGCCCTCCTGTCTCGACCGGGCGTGGCCACACCTCGAAGTGTCCCAGTCACACACACCCGTGCTGCTGCCTGCCCCTGCCAGGGATCCTCTCTGGATTCCCCAAGAATGCTCACTGAGTGTGCTGGGTCCCATAAGGAACACGGCCACCCCTCAGGGTGAGCCACCAAGTGCAGGACCATGGAGCCAAAGACTGGCAAGTGAAAGTGCACAGCACAGGGCTCAGAATAAGAACGCATCTGTCTCTCCTGAGACTTGCCACCACACCTAGAGCAAAACCACTATTTCCTGAGGCCGCATGGGCCCCACGATGCAGACCTGCCCCTCTGCCAGGTCTTCTCGCCAAGTACCCGCTGACCACAGGGCCTTTGCAAGCATGCCCCTGCCTGCAGCTGCGTTCCCAAGACTGCTCTTGTCCTCCACCGAGACAGCCCCACCCAGTGGTGGGTTTTGGTCCTTAGCTTTTCTTCTGGCCAGTCACTGGGGGCAGCTGCTTTTCCCTGGAGCCCAGTTTCCATGCCCAGCTGACCCCCTGTGCTACCCTTGCATCTGTGTGGAGAGACACTGGGGCCACAGCGGGCACCCAGCAGACCTGAACGAGCAGGCACACAGACAGTGGCCTGGCCCCACTGGGCCTCCCACTCCACAGCCTGAGCCCGCCTCTGGTTGGGTCTCTCAGTGCAGCTGCTTCTATGGAACCCTGGTCCTCCCGGCCCCCAGGGCCCAAGTTACATACGGAGGACGCGGACGCCATGGCGCAGGGCCTGGATCCTGCCGGGCTCGATGGACATGCTGAACGTGCCGGGCTGTGTCCCCTGCTCCGCGGCCTGGCGCACCATGATGGTCAGCTTGTTAGCAATGACGGTGTTCAGGACAGAGATGACCACCATGGGGAACACGAAGGAGGTGAAGGTGTTGACCTGCAGGAGAGTGGATGGGCGGTCAGGCCACAGAGCTCTCGCCTGCCCTGCCTGCTGCACTGCCGAGGGCAGCGGGCCCGGTGCGGAGTGGACGGCGCCTGCTATCCCGACTGCCCTGACTGCGCCACGCCCCACTCCCATCCCAGGTGCTACCCCTGCAGCCAGGTGGGCTCTTGACCTGCAGGGCTGGTCTGTGCTGTGAGGTATGCGGGTTCAAGTCCCAGCTGTGGCCGGGGGCTGCATGCTCAGTCTCTGGTCTGGGCTCCCTGAGTCCGTGGCTAGCACCCTGAATGCTGCCCAGAGGCTGCGCCCGGCAGTTACAGGGCTCTAGCAAAGTGCCAGCCCTTTCTTTATCTACACCTGGAGCCACCCACACCTGTAACTTCCCTGTCTGCCCTATGTCTGAGGAAACCAAGTCTCATAGAGGCCAAGTTCTTGCCCAGGGCCCCTGGCTCAGACGTGGATTTGAACCTGAGCCTCCTGGAGACTGTTGGCTTCTCCGTGGCCTCACAGAGCATGCTGGGCTGGCTCCGCTGGCGCTGGCCAAGTCACCTCCAAAGGCCTGGCCCCCGCTCAGGAAGCTCCTGACCCCACTTGCCGGGGCTGGAGCTGCCCAAGAAGACATGGCCTACGCCTGCCTTAGAGTTCCCATTGCAAAAGGACCGGTAGTGGCCAAGCACTTGGGAGCGCCGCGCCCCTCCACGGCGTCCAGGGAGGTCCTGGGGCCAGCTGTGCCTGCAGCCAGAACGCTGGACTTGCAAGGCTTTTTAAGTAAAATAAACACCTTTTCCATGCTTAAGACAATTAGGCTGTGCTCCTAAAACTTGGGCCCTAACTCACACAGCTCTATCACGAAAAAACAATCAAGCAGAAAGATTAAAGCTTAAAAACAAAAATCATAGGATGACTACAGTTATATTTGCCCCAAGCCTGAGTGCAGTGTGGCTGACATAAAATTGTGCGCGTCTGGCTTGCGGTGCGGTGTTCTGCCACCCCGAGGCGCTGTGCCGCAATTACTACCCGCAAGCTAGGAACACCAGCATTGTTCACCGGTCACTTCATAGCGAGAACGCATCGGGCCAACTCGCTGAGTGTCACTGCCTGCGGTCACCGCACCACACGTCTCCAGAACTTACTCATGCTGCCCGACTACAGATCGCACCCCATCACCTGCGCCCTGCCCCTGGTGTTCACCACCCTACAGTTTTTATAAGACTAACTTTTTAGGTCCCATATATGAGTGACATCAAATGGCATTTGTCCTTTCACATCTGGCTTAGTTCACTCTGCATAACAACCCCTAGGTCTCTCCACGGTGTCACAATGACAGGGTCTCTGTTTTAAGGGCCAAAGTACAGGATTCCACATTGTCCTCCCAGAGTTCACTTGTAGACACCTGGCTGATGCCACCGCTGCTGGGAAGAGCCGTGGAAGGGGTGCGGGCCTGCTGGGCGCGCGGTGAACGCAGGGGTGCGGGCCTGCTGGGCGCGCGGTGAACGCAGGGGCGCGGGCCTGCTGGGTGTGCTGGTCTCATCGCCTCCAGACATTTACTCAGAGTGAGACTGCTGGATCATAAGACGGTCTGCGAGTTTCCAAGACATTTCATACTGCCCTCGCTCACGGCCACCCTGATGTGCATCTCTCCTGATGGCGTGCATGGTGTCCCTTCCCCACACCTTCCTGGCAATCTCTACTCCTGGCTTTTTGGGTGCTGGGGTGGTACAGGAATCAAACGCAGGACCTCATGCTTGCCAGGCAGGTGCTGTGCCACTGAGCTAAATCCCCTGCCCACCCCTGGCTTTTTGATAGCAGTGTGATGGCTTCCAGGGCCTTGCAGTGTCCGTTTCCTGATGATCACTGCTGTCCCCTGCCTGCTGGCCGCTGCGCGTCTCCTTAGGAGGAAGGTCAGGCCCTTTGCCCACTTGGAATCAGGTGCTTTTCTTGCTATGGAGTAGTGTATGTTCCTTGTCAATTCTGGATACTGATCCTTTGGATATATAGGTTGCAAGTATTTTCTTCTTCCATCCTGTAGATTTCCTTTTCCTTCCTTGGTTCCCTTTCCTACACTGAACTTCTTGATTTGATTTACTCTTAGGTACGTATTTTTGATTTTGTTTCCTACTCTTTTGGTGTTACAGCCAGAAGTCATTGCCGAGACCAAGGTCAAGGCTTTAGATTTTCTTCCTTTAGGCTCATGGTTTAAGATTTTATGTTTAAGTTTTAATCCATTAAAAAAAATGTATTTAGTACAGGGTCTACAGGGTCTCACTGCCCAGATCGGATCACTCATAGTGATCCTTCCTATTTTTCAGCCTCCCAAGCACTAGGATTACAGGCATGCACCACCACGCCCAGGGTCAATCGCTGTCTCAGCGTGCCCTGGGGGTGGGGCTGGCACCGGCACGGCAGGTGGGGAATCGAACTCCCAGCCCTTGCGTCTGCCTAAGCAGGTGCTTTAATCTGCTGAGCTATCTGGCTTGCCCTGGTCCATTTTAAGTTGTTTTTCATGTATAGTGGGAAATAAGGGACCAGTTTCATTTTTTTATACCTGGGAATCCAGCTTTTCTGCACAGCTTCATAAAAAGACTTCCTTTCCCCGTGTGACCCATTTGACACACAGCCAGAGAGTCCATGGCAGAGTGTGGAGGGGCCTGTTTCTGAGCTTGTGCTCTGCTCCACAACTGTGTCTTTTTTATGCCCAGGTCATGCTTTTCTACAACTACAGTTTTGTGACATAGTTTGCAGTCAGGAAGTGCTTTGCCACTATCCTTTTTCTTCTTTCCTGTGGTTATTTTGATTTTGGGGGGCTTTTAGAATTGTTTGTACTATTTCTATGAAAAATATGATTGGGATTTTGATAAGGATTGCATTGAGTCTGCAGATTACTGTGAGTGTTATGGGTATTCAACATTAATCCTTGCAAACCCACAGACACGGGATCCCTTTCTTTCTGCCCTTCTCAATGCATTTCATTGGTGTTTTAGAGTTGAACAGGTCTTTCACCTCCTTGCTTAAATCTAAGTATTTTGTTTTACTTTGTAGCTATTGTAAACAGAATTTTAAAAAATTTCTTCTTAAATAGTTCTTTGTTAGTGTATACAAACAATTGATTTTGCAGTTGCAATGTATAAAATGTTACATATTTCATATTTTTGTATTCTGTGGTTTTACTGATTTTTTTCTTTAATTTTTTGAGTCTGTTGGGGTTTCTGTAATAAAAAGATGTTATTAGCAGCCAGGTGCAGTTTCGCTCCTTCATAGGTGCCTCTTCCCCTTTCTCTTACTTTTAGGCCACCCAATGCACTTCTTTTGGCTAGTCGTTCTGGTGGGACTTCTGGCAGGCATGGTGTTGAGCAGAGATGTGGAGCGTGGGTGAGCGGTCTTGGTTCTGTTTGAGGGAAAACCTTTTGCTTTGTCATCGTTGTATATGATGCTGTCTGTGGTGTGTCACACGTGGCTCTATTATGTAGTGGTTCATTCCTTCTATATCTCATTTGCTGGGTGTTTCATTTATTTCTTTATTTGTTTTTCTGAATTTAGGGTAAGGTCTACAGGGTGTTCAGGGTCTCGCTATGTAGATCGGCCTTGCAGTGATTCTCCTGTTCACAGCCTCCCAAGAGCTGGGGTTACCCAGTCTCAATCGCCATCTCAGCACGCCCCGGGGGCGAGGCCGGCTCAGCAGGCCCAGGGATCCAACACCCGGCCCTGAGTCTGCCTAAGCAGGCGCTTTAGTCCGCTGAGCTACTGGGCTGGCCCTGCTGAGGGTTTTTTTTTATCATGAAGAGATGTGGGGTTTTGGCATATTCTCTTCCTGCATCTGCTGCAATCATCCTGTAGCTTGGTCCTTCCCTCCAATGATGGGGTTCATCCAAGTGCTGATACTGACACTGAGTCATCCTAGTACCCGGGGATACATCCAGCTTGGTCATAGCGGTGATCCTTCTATGTGCTACTGAATTTCATTTACTAGTATTTTGTTGAGAATTTTTGCACCTTTGTTCATCAGACATATTGGCCTTAAATTCTCTTTTGTCATAGTATCCTTTTCTGCATTGGTGTCGGGGTAATGCTGAGTGTAAAATGAGTCCAAATGTGTTCTGTCTTCTCCAGCTTTCCTAAAGTTGGTTGTTGAGAAGGCCTTGGGTCAGTTTTCCTTCAAACGTTCAGCATAATTCTCCTATGAAGCCATATGGTCCCCGGCTTCTCTTTGTTGGAAGGATTTGATTACCGGCTCACTCTCTTTGCTCATCCCAGGTGCTTTCAGGTTTTCCTGTTTCTCTATGATCCAGCTTTGGCTGTCAGGATTTTCTAGGTGCTCTCATTCCTGTGGAAGTAGTTGCCCTAGGTGGTTGCCCACGGTAACATGCTTTATTTTCTGTGTTTGGGGGCACTGGCTGTAGCCCTCTTCTTCCATTTCTGATTCCACTGTGTGCTCTTTGCTCTTTTGTTTCCTTCTCTCCTTGTCTCTCCCTTTCTCCTCCTCACTGCACAGGATCTGTCCTCAGAGCTGGGGCCCCAGGCCAGCAGATACCAATGAAGCAGAAATGTCCCGAAGTGATTTCAGGGACAAAAAGGGTTACAACCACATGGCAATGCTGGAAGCTGCCTGGCTGGGTAAAGGCCTGGGGGCTCAGAGAGACCCCGTTAATGGGTGAATCTGATGTCTGACACCATGGCATGCAGGACCCTGTGGGGCCCTGAACTTTCCCAGCACAGGGTCCCACAAACTCAGGGGCCCAAGGAGGGGACAAGATAGCAACAGGAGGCAACCTCTGGGGGTTGCACCGAGGAGTATGATGACCCGTGCCTGCTGGCCCCTCTCTGACACTGCCAGTGTGTCCCTCCCAGACTGAGCATGTGTCCCAGCCCTGGCCACAAGAGTGCCCTGGGGGCACACTGTCTCACTGACGCACCCAGTTCAAGCACTGCCTGGGTGGAGAAGTGCCAAGCTGTTCCACTCAGCCTGCAGCACCCATGGTGCCTTGAGAGCTTGCATGGAT